TGGAGGTTGCTGTGAGCTGTGATGCCACGCACTCTACCAAGGGTGACATAGTGAGACTCTGTCTCAAAAAAAAAGAAAGAAAGAAAGAAAGAAAAAGAAATGTCTACTATTGCTGAAATCATACCTATACAGTGTTTATTGACTCTCTTTATAAATTTCTTAAATTCAAAAATTATTTTGGTATATTAAAATTTTGTGCAGAGCACCTGCTACCAAATGTCTACAACATTTGGCAACTACTCTCCAGGTGTGACAACCCAATTTTGTGATTTTCTGTGTGTATTATGATGTAACAATGGTTGGGAAGCCACTGTAGCCATCAACAATTTTAATTTCAAATAATGACAGACATTAGATATTCATTAATCTTTTTGCTAATTTTATTATACTATATAGATTTGTATTTCTTATGATCTGAGAAACATCAAAATTCTATTTTAAATTTGTTCTTAAAATATACAATATTGCACTTTAATTTTTGGCAGTATAGTTAAGGAATGACTGAGTAGAAAAAAAATCATACAAGAAACTATAATTTTTATTTTGCTTTATAATAAACAAAGAGCTTTGTGTAAAAGCAAAACTTACAGTAGTGCCAAATAAACCAAATATTTACAGTGTAGATATTAAAGTCTTGCCTCTAAAGGAAGATTCAGTGTATTTGTATTGAATGTAAATATCATTCATTAGCCTAACAAACGCATACCCTCCCACATTCTGCTAAACATTTTTAAGCCGAAGGGTATTGGTTATTTCCTTCTCAAGAAAACATAGAAGAAATGTTTTTTCTTAGAGCATCTAAACTGGGTCAATGACCTCTTTCACAAGAATATTTCCTACGTGGCTTCAAAAACCTCTACTCTAAACTAAGAATCAGAATTGCACAGTAAGCATTCTTTTAAAGTTTTCTATAGTTACTCTCTTTTATTTCTTATAAGTGTACAACTTAGTTGGTATGTTACGATTTTAAGGTCTGTTTCCTGTACTTTTTCTAAGATACATAAAATACTGAATGTGCATCTGCCTGAAGTATTTTTAACTTTTGTCACATTATATACATTAACATTGGCTCAGAACTTGTTATTTTACTTTTTAATTCCCAATTAGGCAAATACTTTAGAAAGCTCAATTTTTTTTTTCTTAACCAATTTGGAAGAGAGTTTTTAAATGGCTATCTGCAAAAACAAATACAAAGATTCAGCACTACTTAATAGTATATTAAACACTCAAAAGACCAACAGGAACATAAATAGAACATTATCTGTAATATAAATATATCACTTAGAGACATTTGTGGCACCACCTAAAAAAACCAGCAGTACTTTATCACCCATCACATCTTTGGAATACTTAAAATTCCTAATCTTGACTTCTTTTCTTTTCCTCCAGAGGAAAAACAATCCACAAGTTTCAATTGGTATTTCAAATGCAACGATGTCCTTTTGTTACTTCTTAAATGATCTTCTGAATGAACAGTTATTCAAAGTGTTAACTAGCAGCCAATGCATTAATTATGCCTTTACATTTTAATCCTACTAAGAAGTGATTGTTTCAGTGATTTATCATGGAAAGATATAAACAACCACATATTAATTGCATAGTTCTGATTTGATAACAAAAGTCATAGTAAAGAGTTCAAAAGTATTAGTAAATGTTAACTTAAATAGACTGTTAAGTAACAGTCTATCACGGGTATTATGTTAGTGTAAACTCAGAGGGAAAAAACAGTCAATAGCAAAACCGTTTTCTTTAAAAACAGGTTAATGTTAAGAATAATAGCTTTTAAAATTTTTGTTCAAAAATAAGCTTAATAAACAAGAATACAAATTTTAATCAAAACATAGCTCTTTGAAATGCCCTATTTTCTTGCATATAGCAGAAAATACATTTTCCATAGTTTTCAATATTACATGTAAAAATGAGGCACTAGTTATACATATTTGAATATATTCACAGAAATGAGTTTCAGTCCCATCCGTACGCTTGTATTTGCAAACCATTCACAAAAATAAGTCTTCTGAAGGAGGTGCGTAAGAGAAACCAAGGAATGCGTCATCAGCCTCCAAAACACTGGCATTCACTACCGAATAGTCAGACGACACGCACACAGAATACGGAACTGTTTCTTCTGTGAATGCTGTGTCAAAGTTCCTGATATCATCTGGTCCAGCCTAAAACATCAAAAGCATAATATTATTCACCCTAGCTTGTCTTTCACTAACTTAGTCCTTTAATTAAAAACTCCTTTATGAATTTGTGTATTTATTTACTAGTAGAAAGTTTAGATGTCTTCCTAATACATTTTTTTGAAACATTTCTCTGCTTTTCCTGTCCTGACTTTTATTTAGGTGAGGTTATGTCTAACAGTTAAGGTTCTTGTTGGGTGAAGGGAGGAGAAGGGTAAGGAAAGCTAGCAAAGTGCTTACCTATGCTAATTTGAATCACAAGCCCTGTCCCTGATCCTCTTTTTTTCCTCTACCCATCATCACTTCAAAGCTCAGAAAAGGGGCTCAGGTACATTTTGAGGATAGGATATTGTATTTGAGCTTCCACAAAATACCTGCCCATCTAGTTTCTCAATCCTTTGTGGGTAAAGCCTTCTGATGAAGAAATAAAGAAGGTTATAAGTAAAACTGTGAAATGTGACTCAGTGTGCTACAGACAAGGTCGTAAAGCATTTCATAGGGCATCCTCAGCTCTGGATGGCTATGGGATCCAGGTACACAGGAAATGAAGCACAGTGGCTGTGTCTCAAAGGCAGTGGTTCTTAACCTTCCTTTAAAAACCTGATGCAAGTTAACAGATTCTCCCTTTCCAATGTATTTACAGGTAAACACTGGGCTACCAATTCAGGTGATTCACTTTTCAAGTCCATCCTTGAAGCTCTAGGTTATTTCTGCTCTACAGGGAAGGGAATCCCTAAAATGTGCAAATCATCAAGTGTAACTAAGGTGAACAGGCAGGAATTCAGAACTGGTACAAGTTAAGGATAGCCTGGTGCACCTATAAACTGAGCAGAGACAAGACCAGGAAAACCCAGAATGCTACATCCTTTCATAGAAGAAAATATCCACACATAGCAAAGAACGCCAGAAATTATGTGTGTATATGTATTTTTTCCCTTAAATTCTTACATATAATCCTAGAAAAATCACAGGCTCTTGATTTGTGGCTGTAATATTTACTAGATGTCATTCTTTATATAAACTACCCTATCACTATGAGCTTATTTCTTCTTCTGTAATAAGAACTACTATCATCTACCTCTTAAGCCAGTGGTTTTCAACCTTCCTAATGCATCGACCCTCTAATACGGTTCCTCATGTTGTAGTGACCCCCAACCATAAAATTATTTTTGTTGCTACTTCATAACTGTAATTTTGCTACTGTTATCAATTGTAATGTGCATATCTGATATGCAGGATGTATTTAGGCAACTCCTGTGAAAGGATGATTCGACTCCCAAAGGAGCTGCAACCCACAGGTTGAGAACCTCTGTCTTAAGCAGTGGTTCTCAATCTTCCTAATGCTGCAACCCTTTAATATAGTTCTTCATGTTGTAATGACCCCCAAACCATAAAATTATTTTTGTTGCTACAGGAATTTTATGGTTGGGGGTCACCACAACATAAGGAACTGTATTAAAGGGTTGTGGCATTAGGAAGGTTGAAAACCACTGCTCTTAATCTTAAGATTAAGAAAACCACTGCTCTAAAGTAGGGACTGAGGCCGTGGAACTGTAAACTATTAGCTATGCAGAATACTCAGTATTTCAAAAAGGAAGCCAAAAACCTGAGGAAGCTGCATTCCAGAAGCTGCCAAAATGAAAGCAGCAATAAAGTAAGTTATTCTGAGGATTGAAGTAGAGGCAAGGATCACAACCCAGATGTACTCAACATAGTGGAATATTAGGAGAGGCTTCCCTAGTCATTCAGAGGATTTTAAACGCACTTTATAAGGTCCTATCCAAACATGGGTCCCATACAGGGACTTACTTTGTTTTGGTTGTTCTCAAATGGCATACTGAGAAACAAATTTTTAAGGTATCAAAAACTGTTTGTTGGGACCAGGTACAAAGGCTCACACCTATAATCCTAGCATTTTGGGAGGCTGAGGCAGAAGGTTGGCATGAGGGCAACAAGGAGATCTTGCCTCTAATAAAACTAAAAGGGCTTGAGGCAGCACCTGTGGCTCAAGGAGTAGGGCGCCAGCCCCATATACCAGGGGTGGCAGGTTCAAGCCCAGCCCAGCCAAAACTGCAAATAAATAAATAAATAAGTAAATGAAATAAAAAATAAAAAGGCTTGGCTCACAGCTATAATCCTAGCATCTTGAGAGGCCCAGGCCAGAATATCACTTCAGGCCAGGAGATAAAGACATGCCTGAGTAACATATCAAGTCCTTTTCTCCACAAAAATTATAAACAAACTAGCTGGCTCAGCACCCATGGCTCAGTGGCTAGGGTGCGGGGGCCGGTGGGTTTGAACTTGGCCCAGGCCTGCTAAACAACAACACCTGCAACAAAAAAATAGCCGGGCATTGTGGTGGGCACCTGTAGTCCCAGCTACTTGGGAGGCTGAGGCAAGAGAATAGTTTAAACCCAAGAGTTGGAGGTTGCTGTGAGCTGTGACACCATGGCACTCTACCGAGGCCAACATAGTGAGACTGTCTCAAAAAAACCCCAAATTAGCTGGGAGTGGGTGGTATATCCTGTAGTCCCAGATAGTTGGGAGGCTGAGACAGGAAGAGTGCTACAATCCAGGAGTTTAAGGTTGCAGTGAGCTGTGATGATACCAATGTACTCTAGCCTGGGCAACAAAGTGAGACCCTGCCTCAAAAATAAATGAAGACATATATACATATAACTTGTTGATGAGTTTTATAGCGAAAAGAGTTTGAAACATAGTAATATATCCACACCTTGTTTGTGTTAGGCAATTTTAAGACCCCTACTATTATACCCTCTCTCAGCTGCTGAGAGAATAAAATAAACCACCATTGCTAGTTAGGATGAATTAAATATTTAGAAGTGTAAGTTCAATTCTGTGGATTAACAAAAAGAATTTGTAACGCATGTTAACCACTATTAACAGGGAAATAAACTGATTATACTCCTCTTATAATAAAAGTACTTGGGCATATATAATTGAAGTAAATACTTTATGCAATCTATTGGATTTTGGAAGACCTTTTAATTGCTAGAAACACTCTTCATAAAAATGTTAAAGCTTAGCATGGTCAATAACCCGACTCTTCCCTTTCTTAGTAACTAATTCTATATAAAATATAGAACACCAACCTGACTAAAAATTCAATTAATTCATTTTAGTCATGGGATGAGTGAGCATCAAAGACAATTTCTATCAGCTGCTTCTGCTGCACAGATGTAATCATAAGTCATCATGACGCATCTGGTTTCTGGCCTTACTTTATTATTTCAGTTCAACCAAAATACTAAATGCCAAGTACATGCTCACCACAGAGTTTTTAAACCTTTTATCTCTTACTAGATTTTATCTTTCTAACTCTGAAGACAGAGTCTAAGTCCTATGCATATGTATTTTCTAACTAAGTTACCAATAAATATTTAACTGACACATTCCCAAATAGAGGGAAAGGGAGAAGAGAATGAATATTGATTGAATACCTACTATGTGCAATGGACTCCTAGGTGCTTTACAAATGTTACCTAAATCAAACCTCATAGCCAGTGTTTTTAAAAAGCCACAAAAAGGGCAGTACGTGTAGCTCAGTGGGTAAGACACTGACCACATAACTGAGGCTGGCAGGTTCAAACCTGGCCTGGGCCAGTTAAAACAACAATGACAACTGCAACAAAAAAAATAGCTGGGCGTTGTGGTGGGCACCTATAGTCCCAGCTACTTGGGAGACTGAGGCAAGAGAATCGCTTAAGCTCAAGAGTTGGAGGCTGCTGTGAGCTGTGATGTCATGTAACTCCAACCAGGGCGATAGCTTGAGACTTTGTCTCAAAGAAAAAACAACAAAGCCACAAAAAAAAAAAAAAAACCACCTTAGAGATGCTTAATGTCTAAATAATCATAGATGACCAAGGATCCAAAGTTTGAGGTATGGGACTCTCTCAAGTCAACAGTGTTTTCACTTCCAGTGAAATGCTGCTTAAGAGGAGTCCCTAACTCTCACTGCCTGGTGATGTACTTGAGGATAACTAAACTCAACTAAGACTCTCAGTCTGAAGAGAAAAAACAATTCTTAAGAGTCCTAGGTTCCACAAAAAATAGCAAATAATCTCATCTATCACAGAAACATGAACAGAACCTTCTCTGTAGAGACAGGTGAAGGGCTAACAAACACATGAAAAAATGCTCATCATCCCTAATCATAGGAGAAATGCAAATCAAAACCACCCTGAGATATCACCTAACCCCAGTAGGATTAGCTCATATCACAACGTCCCAAAGTTACAGACATTGGCATAAATGTGGAGAAAAGGGAACACTTTTTCACTGTTGGTGGGACTGTGAACTAATACAGCCTCTTTGGAAAGAACTATGGAGAATTCTCAAAGATCTCAAATTAAACCTCCCATTTGACCCCACAATCCCATTCTTAGGCACCTACCCGGAGGGGGAAAAAATCATTTTATCATAAAGACATTTGCACTAAATTGTTTATCATAGCTGAATTTATAATCACCAAGAAGCGGAAATAACCTTAACGTCCATTAACTTAGGAATAGATTAACAAACTGTGGTATATGTATACCATGAAATACTCTTCAGCCATAACAAAAGATGGTGACTTTACATCTTTTGTATTAACCTGGATGGAGTTGAAACACAGTCTTTCTAGTAAAGTATCACAATAATGCAAAAGCAAATATCCAATGTACTCAATATTAATATGAAGCCAGTAGACAATCTAATTCACACCCACACAGGAGAAAAACTCATTTCAATTCAAGTTGAGGGGAGGGAGAATGAGGGAGAGGGGAGAGAGAAGGGGGAACTTGAGGTGCTCCCACTTACTAGGCACAATGTACGGGTATAAGGCACACCTTTTGGGTGCAGCACACAACTAACAAGAGGGACTCTACCTAACAAATTATAATTTTGTGACCTAGTTGTTTGTGCCCTCACATTAAAACTGAAATGACAAAAAAAAAAAAAAAAAGAGTCCTAGGTTCCTACAACAAACTCTAGAACTCTGAGACAGAAATTGTCCCTAAATCACTTCTGAAACAGTCACTTATAAATGCACTAAGTGAATAATAATTCTACAAATATTACACCTGTAGGTATAAAATGTCACACCTATTAATGCCAAACTATGAGCTATGTACAGAAACTAACCTTTAACAAAGCCTGAGTAGACCAAATAAAACTTTCCTAAAGAGATTCCCTTGTCTATTCTAATATAGTAAAAAAGATTTCCCAAGTTTTACAGCAACACCAAAAAATGTTAAATAAAAGAAAAAAAAATAGTGGGGCACAGTGGCTCATGCATGTAATCCTAGTACTCTGGGAGGCTGAGGCAGGTGGATTGCTTGAGTTCAGGAGTTGGAGACCAGCCTGAACAAGAATGAGACCCTGTCTCTACTAAAAACTGAAAACTAGCCAGATGTTGTGATAGGCACCAGCAGTTCCAGTTTCTGGGGAAGCTGAAGAAGGAAAATCTCTTAAGCCCAAGAGTTTGAGGATGCTGTGAGCTATGATGTCATAGCACTTTACACAGGGGAACAGAATGAGACTCTGTTTCACAAAACCAACCTTAGTTTATATCTCTTCCAGTCTTTACCCAATTTTACTGTTATAATCATAAGTCACAAAAATTATAATTACCGTGTTCATCAAGAAGATTTTCTAAATGTTTGCTCATTTTTAGTATAATTTACTCAGTAAGAAAAGGCAATAGAGCATAAGAAAGAATGACAACTTCAGAATCACGCACAGATTTGAAATCATGGCTTTGCTATGTTTCATCCAGCTATAAGACATCTCTGAGCTTCTATTTCCTCATTTATAAAACATGTATAATAATATAGTAATAGTAGTAAGCTTATAGCTTAAGGAATATGTTATTTTTTATTTATTTATTTATTTTTTGAGATAGAGTCTCACTATGTCACCCTTGGTAGAGGGCCATGGCATCACAGCTCAGAGCAACCTCAAACTCTTAGGCTTAAGTGATTCTCTTGCCTCAGCCTCCTGAGTAGCTAGGACTACAGGCGCCCACCACAACACCCAGCTATTTTTGTTGTTGTTGTCACAGTTGTTTAGCTGGGCTGGGCTGGATTTGAACCCGCCACCTTCAGTGTATGTGGCCGGCACCATAACCGTTGTGCTACGGGCGCCAAGTCGGAATTAGTTATATGTTTCAACACATACAGAGTATACATAGTATACACAGGAAGCTATCAATAGTTAGTAATATTATCATAAACCTACGGACATATATTTTTATATACATATATGTATTTATATATAAAAAACAATTCTCCTATTATTATATATTTGCTGTATTTCCAAAATTTCCTAACATTGTTCTGTCCTGGAGTGTCCAATCTGTGCCCTGCATACTGATCTTGTGAGGACTGCTTTTGCTTATTTGTGGTGTCAGACTTCATGAAAAGTTTGTACAGACTTTTTTTTTGTAATCAGCTTTTGTTGGTGTTTGTGTATTTAATGTGTGGCCCAAAACAACTATTCTTCCAATGTGTGGGTGGAGAAAAAAATGGTTGGACACTACTGCAACCATGTCTTTGATGCAGCTATTTGCTTTAAAAAAATTATCTTTAGGTAAAATGTTTCTAATCACTGGGTTTAAGAAGTCTACCTGAAATGAACACTTTTATCATATTCTCTCATTATTTTCCAAAAAGGATGTAACAATTTATATTACCATTATGGTTTGTTTGTACTAGATTTTTGTCACTCTAGCAGAAAACCATGAATTAGTGTTGTTTATTGATTTGGTATGGAGAAAGTGATACCAGATAGTTACTTTATTTATTTATTTTTTTAGAGACACATTTTTTTTTTTTTTTTTTT